TGCACCCCCAGCCTCCCTCTACCTCCTCCCAAGATTGATTTTTACCACTTGTTTATCAGAGGGGGATAGAGAGAAGGAAGGAGTGGTTGTCAGGGCACTGCCTGCTGGGCCATTGAACCCAGCTGCCCCATTGTAATGCAGTGAACTCAATTTGGCCTGAGCTGCTTTTTCTCCCCCTAATCTCAGTGGAGACTAGAGAGGCAGCAAAGCAGCCAGGACAACAAAGGCGAAAGAAGAAAGCCAAGCTCGAAAATTCTTTTCCCAACCACTGCCCTCTCCGGGAAGCCTGGTCCTCCAGTCCTAAAGCCCACAATGCTATTCACATGCAAATAGAAGCCCCTGCTGCTCGGGGGTCTCCACCGTTTCCCCTCTCCTTGCTTTTTCTCCCCCCCCCCATTCTTTTTACGTTATTTCCACAAATCCATGTTCGCCCCTCTCTGAACTTTTCCCTGCATGAGCTGGAAGCTGTGATCCAAAAGTCATGCTGGTTTCTCCCCAGGGCTCCCACAGTCACTCTTCCTCCTTCGATCACCTTCCATCAGCTTTGGGTAGCGTCAGGAAAGAGCTAAGTGACAGCTTCACAGCTGCCTTTCAGTCCCCATCTCCCATGCCCCCTCAGCAGCAGTTCCAAAGTACTGGAATCTTTCTTCTTGAAAATGTCTTCTCGTCTAAGTCCTGGGAGAGGTCTCTCTTCTACTTTTCTCTCTGGGTTATCAACCTTATTCTCCTCTTTCTTTCTATCCAGTCTCCTCTATATTAAAAGGCTCCATCAAAAATGCTAACAGTCATGTAATGGTTAGTAGTTCATTCCTTTTTTATAAAAAAAAAAAAAAAAAAAGATTTTTGGTATAAGGCTCATGTGCTTGCCGGAAAGACAGAGACACAGAAAGCGTGAAATTACCCCCCACCCCGGGGCGATGGCCACACTGCATTCCCTCCCCGCCATTCTCCTCTTGGGATTTTGGGTACGCATGAACAGGCACTATGCGTGTTTTAAGTCACTGGGTCCCGGACTCGAACCACATTCCGACTACATGGGAGTCCAAGAACATAACCATTATACCATCTGCTGGTCCCACAAATTCATTCCTTTAATCTTTCTGTATTTCTATCACTGTCAGCAATAAACATGTTTCATTCATGATAAAAGATGTTTGGCAAACTGTAGAAATAGAGACCGCATAAATGGTTGCCAAGAGACTGAGAGAGGAGGGGAGTGCAAACGTGAAAGGGGAAAACATGAAGTGACTAGTCTGTGGTTCCAGAACAGTTCTGGAGCTTCACTGTGGTGATAGTAACCAGGATTGGATATAGGGGGCAGCAGGTGGTGTGGTGGTAAAGGGCACTGGACTCCCTCAAGGCCTATGGTGGTTCAAGTCCAGGACCTGGTGGCTTGCTTTCTCACTTTCCCTCTCTCTCACTCTTTCTCACTCTGTCCCTCTGTGGTGAAATCAAAATGAATAACTAAACAAAGTTAAATAAAATCATTAAAAAAAAAAAAAAGATATGCAGTCTGTTTAACAATATAATACCAATTCAATTTCCTGGCTTTGAGATTATACTGTAATTATTATTATAATTATATGTCACCACTATGGGATGCTATACTACTTTTGCAACTTCTGAGTCTATGATTATTTCCAAGTTTTTTTTTTTTTTTTTAGGAGAAGTTTTTGCTATGGGGTACGTGCATTCGCCAGAAAGACAGAGAGATACAGAGATAGAAAGCAAGGAATCACCCCCCAGGGGGTATGGCCACACCACAATCCCTTCTCCTCCATTCTCCTCTCGGGATCTTGGGCACACACACACATGCACCCAGCATGAGTTTAAGCCACCGGGTCTGGGACTCAAACCACGGTTGACTATATGAGAGTCCACCAACATAGTCATTATGCTAACTGCTGGTCCCTCCAAATATTTTTATTTTTAAATAAATAAGTGGGGCCAGCAGATGGCATAGAGGTTAAGATACTGGATGCAATCTGAGACCTAGACCCAGTGACTTAAAAATCATGTCAAGAGGCCAGTGGGTGGCATAATGGTTAAGGCACTGGACTCCCACATGGCAGACCACAGTTCAAGTCCCATACCTGGTGGCTTGCTTTCTCACTTTCTCTCTCTCTCTTTCTCTCTGATGAACCCTTATGTCCTATAACAAGTTAGTAATAACAATAAATAAATTTTTTAAAGAATTATTTTATTTAACTTTATTTACTTATTTTAATTTGACCAGAGAGAGATAGAGTATATGTGTGTATGTGTATGTGTGTGTGTGAAAGAGAGAGAGAGAGAAAATGAAAAAGCAAGCAGCTAGGTCCAGGATTCAAACCGTGGTCGACCATGTGGAAGTCTAGTGCTCTAACCACCACGCCACCTGTCAGCCTTACAGTAAATACTTTTTTTTTGGAGAGGTTTTTACTATAGGGCGCATGCGCTCACCAGACAAAGAGACAGAAAGGGAGAAATCACCCCACCTCGGGGGGATGGCCATGCTGCAATCCCTTCTCCTCCATTCTCCTCTCGGGATCTTGGGCATGCATGCACACGCACCCGGAGTGAGTTTTAAGCCACTGGGTCTGGGGGTTGCCTACATGGGAGTCCCGCGACATAGCCATTATGCTAACTGCTGGTCCCCAGCAATAAATAATTTAAAAAAAAAAATTGTCAAGCCAGGTGATGGGGTAAGCAGATACAGTGGCAGTCATGTCACTAGACTCCCATATGGTCGACTATGGTTTAAATCCTGGATCCAGTGGCTTAAAAATCACACTGGGCATGTGTGCATTGTGCCCAAAATGCTGGGCCATCTCTCTTGGGGGATGATTTCTCACTTTCTCTCTCAATATGTCTATCTCTGCCTCTGTCTGTTTTTCTCTTGGGCAAGCACACATGCCATAAGGCAAAAACCTCTCAAAAAACAAATAAATAAAATAAAAATCATGTCCAGTGGATGTGCGTATATGCCCCAAATCTCGAGATAATGGAGGAGAGGGGTTTGTGGCATGGCCATCCACCCCTCACCCCCGGGTGATTTCTCACTTTACCTCTCTCTTGCTTTCTCTGTCTCTGGTGAGTGCAAGTACTTTGTAGCAAAACTAAAAAAAAAAAAAGAAAAATGAGGGACCAGTATGGTGATTATGACTGCTGGATCTCACATGGTCTACTGCACTTTGAGTCTTGGACCTGGCAGCTTGAAATACATGCTTGGGGCATGTGCGTGAATGCTCAAAATCCCAAAAGGAGGAAGAAATAGAAAAGGGGATTGTGGCATGACCATCCCCCGAGGAGTAGGAGGGGTGCTTCCTTTCTTTCTTTGTCTTTCTCTCTGGCAACTGTACAGACCCTATGGCAAAATGAAAAGAAAAAAGAAGTTTCTTATGAAATTATAATTCAAACTTGGAAAATACAACAAAGAGATAATTGTATAGCCCTGGAATGTCATGCTAGAGATTTTAAATAATCTCATGTGACCTCACCAGAATTTATAAATGTATTGTTTATTAATTGAGACCTAGATATTTTAGAACTGGTAAACTTAATTTAACATGTAGAAAACAGATTATAAAAGTAAAGTGAAAAAGAGAATCTCAAGGGTTAGTTGTATGATTTTAATCAGCTTTGATTCTAATGTAGCAAATCTAATTTGGCAATCTATTCCTCACTTACTGTATAAATTCCAGTTTCTTACATCCTTAATGACTCAGCTTTGCCATTCTGTTTGTTCCCTCATTAATGAGCTACATAAAGTTTGGTCCATGCTTACTAGTTATATGATACTTTTTATTTTATTTATTTTTTTGACTTGAGGGTGGGTGCACTTGCTAGAGACAGAGAGGGAGAGGAGAAAGAAGGCTCTCATAAAGAATGGTCACACGGGGGCTAGCAGGTGGTGTGGTGGTAAAGGCACTGGACACTCCCACATGCCTGGCCACGGTTTGAGCCCCAGATCTGATGGCTTGCCTTCTTCTGACTTTCCCTCTCTCTCTCTCTCTCTGCATGTCTCTGTCAAATTAAAATAAATGAATGAATAAATAATAAGTTAAATAAATCTTTAAAAAAAATTTTTTTAAAAAAAGAATGGTCACACTTTTCTCTATTTCTTCCTCCTTTTAGGATTTTGTTTTCATTTTTCTTTTTTTTAAATTTAAATAATTACTTTTTATTTTAAAGTTATTTATTTATTTATTTAAATTTGACCAGACTGGAACAGAGCGAGAGAGAGAGAGAGAGAGAGAGAGAGAGAGAGAGAGAGAAAGAAAAGTGAGAAAGGAAGTTGCCAGGTCAGGGTCTCGAACCACAGTCGGCATGTGGGAGTCCAGTGCCTTTAACTATCATGTCACGTGGCCCCCCCTTTTAGGATTTTGGGTACAGGCATATATTCACCAGGCAGATATCTCAAGCTATAAGGTCATGCCACAATCCCTTCTCCTTCATTCTTCTCTTGGAATTTTGGGCATGCATACACATGCACCCAGTGTGTTTTTCAAGCCACTGGGTCCAAGACTTGAACTGTGCCGTTTGGCACAGTGGAGTCCAGCTGCCTTAACCATCAGACTACCTAATTGGCCCAACTAATTTTTCTTTCCTTTTTTTTTTTCAAAGTTATTTACAATATTTAATATTATTTATAATTATAATTATTTTCAGATTTGTCACAGGGCACATGCACTAACCAAGACGAATGGTCCAGGGACTCAAACCTCAGTTGCCATATGGCTTCCAGTTCCAGTCTAGCACACTACCAGTTGGACTACAGAGGCTGGACCAGTTTCCAAATTTTGTATTGAGGAACTACTGAGAAATGAGTATTTTTCTATCTTTTACACTATAATCATTTTGTGGGGGTAGACTTCCATAACGAAAACTAATTTCAGAGACCAGCAGATGGCATAATAGTTATGTCACTGGACTTCCACATGGAATTTTAAAGAAATAAATAAGTAAACCTAAAACCATTTCATGCTACCGATGTAAAGACAATAAAACATTTTTTCCACAAAACATTTTATTACTACAACTGCTATTTTACTTACAATTTTTGGCAACATTAATGAAGTAAAGTTTCATCTGAAGAACAAGCAAGCAAAATAGGCAAGGAAATCCACACAAGGTATTTTACGTACAATTTTTGGCAACATTAATAAAGTTTCGTCTGGAAGAACAAGCAAGCAAAATAGACACGGGAATTCACAAAAGGTAATAACAAAATAGTAATCTGGACAGATATTCAATATGTTTGTAAACAAGAAAAAGTGACATTGCCATACAAAAATATAGAGGTATCAATAGAAAAGCAGAGAAAGCTGTTAAAAGGACTCAACTAACTCTATTAATTTTCTTTTATTGCAGGCACAAATACTGACTCAAGCTAGCTCAGTTCTTACAGAAAAGCGAAGCCCTTGATGATGGTATTTCCAATCTAGCTGGGAAACTGAACTAGACTGGAGAGGGAAGAAAGGGGTGGAGAGAGGTAAAGTGCCTTTAAGGAAGAGAAGGTAAGGTTTAAAAAAACAAAAACATTTCATTGTGTCATTCTAAAAACCTTGGTGAAGCTCAATGAGCCAAAGAAAGTGTCAAACAATTGAGGTAGCAAGTCATGCAGGCATAGAGAACATTCTAAGAAAGAGAATGACATGTGCAAAGACTCGGGATAGGGAAGAAATGTGATTTGTTTGGGGAGTAGCAAGGCCCATGTGTCCAAATAGTACAACAGTGGGAGAAATGATAGAGAAGCATCACAGAGAATGGAAGGCAGGAGGTAGGCAGGGGCCAGATCACTAGAACCTGTAGTTGACAATAAATAAAAATTTGTACAACTAAGGAGCATCTTTAGTGAAACTATACTAGTGTTGAAAATATTTTTAAAATTACTTCAGAATTTTATTATTTAAGTTTTCTATAGGACGTAAACCCTCACCAGTGACAAAGAAAGAGGGAAAGTGAGAAAGCAAGCCACTGAGACTCGAACTGTGGTCAGCCATACGAGAGTCCAGTGCCTCATCCACGACACAACCAGCTGGCCCCTAGTGTTGAGACAATATATTAAGTAATCACAAAAACATACAACTAAAACGTTTCTTACTTTTATCATAGCAACATAATAAAGAGTGCTAAGTATGCAATAGTCTACAGATGTATTTAAATAGCAGGAGTTTCCACCTGAGACCAGGATAGAACACACACACACACACACACACACACACACACACACACACACAACACACCTAAAGAAAGAGTTCAGGCTGACAAAGTTTTAGCAAAGGGCCTTCGCCCAAGCAAACATTCAGGTCTAGTAAAATATGCCAAGATGTAAACCAATCAATCACTAAGCAAATAAATACGACAGAATCTATTCATAGCATCTTTGTTGTCTGTAGTCCCTCCTTCCCAAGTTCTAAAAGGGATGTCAAGCGATGGATGATCCTCTCTTCCTCTTTGTGAAAGCTTAGAAAAATTTTAAGTAGATTGGGAAGAGAAGAAAGGAGTGAAAAGTAAGGTACCTTTATGGAGAAAAACAAAAGCAAAGAAAGTGTTTTCTCTAGACCCAAGCCTACAGACGAGATGCTAGATTCCTTGACTGGTGAATACTGGTGATACTGGTTATCTGGGACAGGGGTACAGGAGCAAGGAATGACGGCACTACAATATGCCCAGAAAAAGAACCTTGAAAACCCACAGAAGCAGCCAAGGTTGCTAAGGTTCAGGAACCAATACTAGGAGTTACTCCACAACTCTATGAGTTATTGAAGGGGAGCAAGGAAAATAGGTTCCCCCATAGTATAGTAACAGATTACACAGCAGGATATATTTAGATAAAGGATAGTAACTCTAAGACATCCTAGTTGTTGAAATAAATGGGACATTTCTTGCACAATGTAACATGTCAAGTTAAAACCCAAATTGTATTAATGTGATCTTTGGGAAATTATACATACAAGAGTTAACTGCTAACTGTAATATATTCATGCCCAAGGCAAGAAATGAACTGCAAGCTTTGCATGTTCAATTAGGGTAAGATACAGTGCACAGAAAAAATAAGGAAACACCCTGTTTAATTTTAGTCAGTCACCCTGTGCTATTTTTGTCCACTGTACCTACTGTTCTTGGTCAAGCCCCCATTCCAGCTTAACAGTGGGAGAACTAAATTTAGGCCTGTCCATGAACTAGACAGATACTGTGTTTGGCGCCTGCAAATAAAACCATAGTCCAGTACACTTTAAACTGTAGATGTTTAAGGCTTCTTTCTCTTGGGAACCTTACTTCCTTTACTGCTGTGGGTAAGAGGGATATGGCCAGTTCATTCTCCAGTAAAGGTTAACCATAAGGCAGAATGGAGGGAAGGAATTCAATTCCACTTTAGATCACTCATCAAGAAGCCCACTGGCACCAGGCCCCATTCTATTAATTACCACTGCTTCTTCACTTGAAGCCAACACTACACAGTGGCTGTTTAATGTCTCCAGGGAACCTAAACCACACAAGTATTTTACTTCAAATGGTTTTGCCTCCTCATACATCCTTGGATTAGGTGAAGACACTGAGGCACTGTTCTTTGTGCCTTGGCTCCAAGGCCAGTGTGAACATGTGCCTATCCCTCAAAGTAGGACAAAGAGTCACTGCTCTTTCTTGACTAACCTCCAATCTTCATAGTCCCCATTCCTGCCACAGCGTCTCCCCTCAAACCCACAGTCAGGCTTGCAGAACCAGGTTATTTTACACACAGCACAGGCACTTCTGGGAATTCAGCAGCAAATGGGCCAGGCCACATAAAGCAATTCCAGTCTGACCAGACTTAATAGTGAAATTTTAAATAAGTAGAAAGTAGAATTAATGGGGATTTTTTGAAATTCTACCTTTAGACCTAGGGGGTGATACATCAGAGTCAGATGTGCTCACAGTAACAGATGCCACTTCCACTGACTCTGATTGAAGAGGTTCCAGTGACACTTGAATAACAACTTTTGTTTCAGGAGGCAATCCTTCTAGTTGCTTAGGCTTCCTAAACATTTGATGACACTGGGTCTTGTGTTCCATTTTCTCCTTGAATGTTAAAAACTGTAACCGACATTTAGAACACTGATGAATGTTCTTTTCCCAATGCCCCCTGTAATGACACATGTATGGTGTTGCAGTTTTGAAAATTCTGAGACAAAACGGACAAAGCAAGTTCTTAGTGTTTTCATGGCATGTTCTAAAGTGTGTTTCGACATCAGCAAAGGCCGACGATCTATAACTGCAAACCTGGCAGACGTAGGGCATTTCTCCGGGCTTATGATTATCCTTCATATGTTGTAAGAGAACCTGATCTGTTTCAAATGACAATTCACAGATTTTGCAGATAGTAGAGGGCTCCTGGGGAGTGTGCACACTGTCGATGTGACACTGCAGCTGAAAGGGGGTGGGAAACTGCCGGTGGCAGTGCTGACAGATGGTATGGTTTTCCCAGCTGTCACCCCTCTGCTTCTCAAGTTCCAAATGGTGCTTCACGTGATTCATAAACTTCACATTTTTTAGAACTTTCAAGCAGCTGAGGCATTTAAAGGTCGCATGAGTCTTCTGTTCTGGTTGCCCATCTCCTCTATGCTGTCCATAGTAAAAGTCACTAAGTAGCACGATCAGATTTCCTTTCGTGGGATCAAAGGTCTTATTTTGACTTGCTGAACTTGACAAGTCTGTTTGTGCCAATTCACTTTTCCTATCAAGATCTGTATTTATAGGTTTTAGATAGGTACCGTCCTTTGGAATAGCTGCTCTGCTCTGAACGTGGCTTAATGAGGTATCATCACCACCTGAGGGTGTGCTTTGCTCAGTATTCACTGCATGAAAGATACCTGAAGGGGACAAAGCTGAAGGACATCCCCCTAAGATTCCATCACTGAGTTTAGGTCTTTTGGCATTCATGCTATTTACTTCAGAAGTGGAAAGCTGTTTTGATACACAGGAACTTTCATTCTTATTTCCTACTGAAAGTGCTGCTTTTACTGGACGAGGCAATGAATTTGTGCATGTAACTAAAGGAGAACATAACTCTGAAGAACTATTAGGCACGTGTGAATTATTTTTATAATCGGGTTTAGATAAAGGCTCAATAATAATAGGACTGTGTGTTGATCTTAATTCAGACTGGGATGCTGGCAAGACGGTCACTGTTTCTGATGTAGGGGTAACATGATTCGTAAGCGGCAACTTGTAAGCAGCATCTTTCCTAAGGTGATCATTCTTTTTTCTCCTTGAACATGAACCTGGGGTGACTCTGTTCAAAATGGTTGAAACAGCTGGTTTTGAATTTGAAGTTACCCCAACAAAGATCAGCTCCGCATCTTCATCGACATGTTCCACCCCGACAAAGATCAATTCGGCATCTTCATCTTCTACTTGTTTGGGTTCTTTTATGCACTTCTGTGGTTCTTTCTCTTGTTCCTTCTGAGATAACACAGATGGTTGTTCCATTTTCTAATTTTCTTTTCTTGAACAATGTGGCCACAAGTCCCAGTGCTTCCTTTATATAAACTTCTCCCTAAGTACAAACATATTGTACATCAGTAATTACAGAAATAAAATGCATTATCTTATTTAATTCTCTCCCAAAACTCTTAAGTGTACAAACATCCTTATCTTATAGACAAAGACACTGAGGCTCAGAGAGAGTAAGTGACAGCTTAAAACCTGTGATGCGGGAACCAGCAGTTAGCGTAATGGCTATGTCGCTGGACTCCCATGTAGTCGATCGTGGTTCGCGTCCTGGACCCGGTGGCTTAAAAAACTCATGCCGGGCGCGTGTGCGTGTGTGCCCAAGATCCCGAGAGGAGAATGGAGGAGGAGAAGGGATTGCGGCGTGACCATCCCCCCTGGGGGGTGATTTCTCGCTTTCTGTCTCTATGTCTCTCTCTGTCTGTCTGGCGAGCGCACGCGCCCTATAGCAAAAATCTCTCAAAAAAAAAAAAACCAAAAAAACCCAAACAAACAAACAATAAAAACACCTGTGATGCAACATCAAGTCTGTGACTCCAGAATCAACTAAGCACTAGGCAAAATCATATAGAGAGGACAAGTATTTTCCATAAAGAAACATTGGCTTTGGAGTTAGAGCTGTTTGAAGTTGAAATTCTCAGTCTGCCATACACTCGCTTTATCTTCTTTAAAGTTTAAAAAATTTTTTTCTAAAAACACAGCCTAGAAAAAGACTATAGAACTACTGATTTCAGGGAAAAGAGAAATGAAGATTTTCTACTGATAATTTCACTTCCAGCCCCCAGTCTGAAGTGAAGTGGCAAAAGGGCAAGCATTAAGAAGATGACTTCTCCATTGCTGCTGAGAATTAGTGTTTTCAGGGAAAAAGAGAAGTGAAGATTTTCTACCCATAATTCAGCCTCCAGCCCCGAGTCTTGAGTAGAGAGGCAAGGGGCAGGCCTTCAGAAGACTCCTCCATTGCTGCTGAGAACTAGTGATTTCAGGGAAAAAGAGAAATGAAGATTTTCTACTGATAATTCAGCCTCCAGCCCCCAGTCTCAAGTGGTAGGGAGCCCCTCCATCCTTCTGTCTCTGTCTTCTCTTATTTTTTGTAATTTTTCCTTTTTAATATTTTTTTCAGGTAAAGTATTCTCTTGGCTTTCAGACCTTCCTTTATCTTGCTAATAATTCCCTTTCCCCTTCCCCTCTAGGAGAGGCAAGGAGCAGGCCTTTAGAAGACTCCTCCACTGCTGCTGAGAACTAGTGATTTTGCGTAGCACAAGCACATCACATGGTTTTTATTTTTTGCCTTTTTAAAAAAATAAATAAATAAATAAATTTTGGGACCAGCAGATGGCATCATGGTTAAGGACGCTGGACTTACACATGTCCGACTGTGGTTCAAGTCCCGGACCTGGTGGCTTATTTTCTCACTTTCCCTCCCTCTCTCGCTCGCTCTCTCTGGTCAAATTAAAATAAATAAAGTTAAATAAAATAATTCTTTAAAAAATTCCTTTCCCCCCCCCCTCTCTGTTTTTTATTCTTTTTCTTTTACCTCATCACTTTGCTCTTCATTCTCTATTCCCTGCATGTCTAGATGGATCTACGGGAACCATAGCCAAATATCCAAATACTATTAGGATTAACATATTTCTCAATACTCACTGAATCTGCTGCACAAAAGGATAAAAATAGAACGGCAAAGAGATTCCAGATCACCTCCTTCTGCACGCTCCTGAATGCTCAGATTGAACGTCAAGAATTAGGAAGAAATGTACCATCCATCAGATGACCAGAAATCACCACAAGGTCACAAGAAATATGGGAAAGCAAAAAAATACCTCTCCTCCGAGGGAAAAGAATAACTCCTCTTCATCCACTCACAGTTCAATGGAAATCATGGAAATGTCTGATAAAGAATTTAAAAAACATTCATAGCGATAAAGTTAGCAAAGATGCAAGAGAAGAGAGACAATGAACTCTAGAAGAGATAGGAGAATAGAGTCGAGGAGTTTTAGGAGGTGAGAAAGTTCTCGCACAATCTGAAAGAGAAAATACACACCATAAAAAGAATCAAACAGAACTGTTAAGAGATGAAGGCTGTAATACAGGAAATCAAAACCTCCCCTTACAGTATTAAAAGTAGACTAGATCAGGACCAGCACGTGGAATGGTGGTTAAGGTGCTGGACACTCCCACATGGCTGACCTGATGGCTTGCTTTCTCACTTTCTCTCTCTCTCTAACTCTCTCTGGTCAAATTAAAATAAATGAGTGAGACCCCGCGCCTAGGCTGCGACCGAGGCGGGCCTTGCGCAGGCCCCTCGGGCCCTGCACCTAGGCTGCGACCGGAGGCGGGTCCTGCGCGGGCCTCCCCGGGCCCTGCGCGACCCCAGGCACCCGCGCCAAGGCGGCAGCGGGAGGCGGG